TCCCTTCCTCCCTCCCTCTTTCCTTCCTTCCTCCCTCCTTCCCTCCCTCTTTCCTTCCTTCCTTCCGTCCTTCCTCCCTTCCATCCTTCCTCCCTTCCTTCCTTCTTTCTCTCTCTCCCTCTTTCTTTTCTTTTCTTTCTCTCTCTCTCTCTCTCTCCCCCACCAACCCCTCTTTCTTTTTCTTTTTCTTTCAGATTCTAAACCCTGACAAAAGATTCCAAATAAGTGTGACTGCTGAAAGAAAGGAAAGGTTCTTCCCCTACACAGTACGGAAGGTAATCAGAAGGGCGTATCTATTGTGGGCTATCAGAAGGAGTCCTTGAACTTGCTATACGCTTGTTTGTACATGCTAGAGTGAAGTCCAAATAGGAATAATTATGTAATAAATTTGTGGAGTAGAGAGTAATAAGAATTTTAAATGTGTGTTCCAGATTAGCTGAAGACATTCTTTCTTTCAGCTTATTGATGAAGAGGCAATAATAGTGCAGGGGTGGACATTTCTTGGTGATATACACATAGATGAAATTCTCAGGCTTGAACTCAGATAATCATCTGCAAGTGATTACTTTGCTACACAAAAGCTGTCACTCTATATCCCTGCCTTGCCCTCATGACAGGACTTCCTCCCATGACAGGAGTATCAAATCTGATGTCATGATATGACATAGTGAAGAGTGTTTATGGCTAAAGTAATATTTGGATGCCAAAGCTGGTAAAACAAAGGAAAATAATAATTAGGTGACAGGGTACATAAAACCAGTCTGGAAGGGTAATTGCATATGGCGGTGTTTATACTTAATCCCCAAGTTTTCAAAACTACCAATTGAAAGAATTACATTGATGTGTGAATTGTACAATTTCTGGAGAAAGAAGAGCAAACTGTGAACCAGTTTATCATACTTCCCTAAAGAATTAGTCCATTTGCAGCCAAGAAAAGAGAGTATTGATTTGTTTACCAGATATAAAAATAATTTTAAAAAGCAAGCTTGGGGGATCTGGGAAAATGAATTTGTTTATAGTCATCCTAATTCTAAACATCTGGAGTTCTCACTCTGCTTCCCACTAATTTCATCCACACTTTTGGCAGCTCAGACTTCCTCTCTGGAGTTTGAATCTTCCCCCACCACCATGGAGAAGGGCAGACATGGGTCCTGTGTTCAGTCCCGGGTGTCTGTGCTAATCAACAAATGCTGTCCTGAGCATCTACTGTTAGCAGCATTAATAGTTACATCACCCTCTTTGGGGAGGATAACCAGGCAGGTGCCAAGGACACCAAAAGGAATAGGTCCTCGTTTGCTGCTAATAAGAGTCTATAACTATGGGTAATGCCAACATATCTCCTTAGTCTCAAGTTCATATTGTTGATGTTTCATTCAGCTTCCTATGTATACATGGACATTGTAGGGAAAGTATTGGAAAGTTTATTGTAAAGATAGAGGTGAAGTGGACATTAATCTAAATCAAAGCAGTATAGGAATCTCTCTTCTCTCTCTTCATCTGCTTCTTTTGCAAATCGAATCTTTTAAAAATTTTTAATCCTAAATCTCTTTGCTTTGTGACGTGCCAGGGTCCCTCCAGCCCTGTCAACTTGCTTCAGGCATCTCTTACTTTACTTCCTTTTCTTCCTGCCTTTGACAACTGCTTGTCTCTTTGTTTGGCGTGGTGGCGGGCACCTGTAGTCCCAGCTACTGGGAGGCTGAGGCAGGAGAATGGCGTGAACCCGGGAGGCGGAGTTTGCAGTGAGCCCAAATCGCGCCACCGCACTCCAACCTGGGAGACAAAGTGAGACTCTTTCTCAATTAAAAAAAAAAAAATCAAATCTCCAAGAAAGCATTCAGATTGAGCCAGCTCCTACAAAGTTCACTTGTACCAAGTCTTTGAATTGGCTGCCTTTATATCAGGTGGCCAAATACAATTCTATCTTTTGTAATGTGAGGTGTCCATGAGGATCAAAACATAGCACAGCCCATCAGCGGGGGTGGAGGAGGGTTACAGAGAATGCATTTCTTGTTCAGAGGATAAGCCACCCCAGTCTTCTCTAACCTCATTCCAAACTCTCTTTAGCCACAAACACTGCTCTTGGAAGCTGACACCCAGAAAGGCTCACATATTCAAGGTGCACAGATGGGTCTAATGGAGAGACTTGGGAAAGCAGAATTCCAGAAAATGAAGACAGAATTAATGAAATGTCCACATTTCTACCAGTATGGCCATTATATTGTGTTCACTCATATAATTGTCAATTTGATCACTAGTTTTTTAATGTAATGCTCTGTGGCTGCACATACACTTTCAATTTGGCTGGAAAAATACAATTTTCTTATAAATGCTCTTATCTCTTGATAAAACTGGGACTTGTAGGGAACCATATTAAGCTATTTTTCAGCTAATAGAAAGTATTTTACAACATTGAATTAGTAATTTATCAATGAAATCTTTTTTGTGACAATTGCTGTAATTTCCTAGTGTCCTTACTTACATACTTGGAGTAAAGAGTGTTATTGATCACCTACATGCCAAGCAATTTATATATGGTTATCTCATTTTCTCCTTATAACTGCAATAATGATCTCTATTTTACAAAATAGCAGATGGACTCAGAAGATTAAGGAACTTTCCCAAGGCCATATAACTGGTAAGTGGTAGAACTAGATTTTAAATCCAGACCTACCTGACTCAATTAATCGCACTGCCAAGCTATTCATTAGCAATAGTTAAAATCCAGGGAGGATAAAAATTTACCATGATCTTTTGTATAATAATAGGATGCGTAACAAAATTTTAAATAAGATATATATGTATATCTTGTCCACATATATATGTATATACATATATATATGGATTTGGGAATGGGAAACAATTATTGGCATGGACCTATCTGTTGGTAGGAGGATGGAGGAGTAATCAAGCTCACAGGTTCTGGTCTCATAACTTGGCTCAACCTTTCCTTAGCTGCATGACTTTGAGCAATTACTTGACTTTTTTCTTCATCTGTTCAATGACATAATTATTGTATCTTCTTCTCAGGGCTGTTGTGTGATTAAATGAGTTAACACATACATAAGGCTTAGAAAAATGCCTAGCACATAGTAAGCACTGAGTAAATGTTATTATCAAAAGAAAGAGAAATGTTTCCATATGATATTTCATTTTTAGTGAGTACAGAATCATACATTTAGTAGTATTTTGACTGGCTCTTTCATTCTTCCACAGAATAAACTTTCACACCAAACATGTTAAAAGCTACTTAATTGTACTTATTCAAATATTTTATGTTTAAAATTATTTTCAATTCTACAGGGTATTTGTGTAAGTGTCCACATTTTAGGAGACAGCTCTGAACCCTAGTACAATCTAGTATTAATAGTTTGAAGAATTATGTACCATGGATGTCTGAGGCACACTAATTCAAACCCAGGGAGACTCTAGGTAACAGAATTTTAGTAAGGGATCCTATAGGATTGTAAAATCCTAATGGAAAAGCTACTGTCAAAATAAAACAAGCTATTTGACACAGTGAACAATTTGTAAGGAAGTTTTTGCGAAGGCATAAGATTTGCCAGGATATGCATCAGTGTACAAAAGCTGTTGGTTATCAAAGCAGCTTGTCATAGCTGAATGGTACAGGGCAGTGTGCAGAAGCGTAAAGCGTCTTTGTGTATCATTGTGAAACAAAACAGAGGTGTCAAAAATAGTGTCTCCTGATTTTAGTCCAAGAAATAAAGACAAAAATGTCTGGGAAAAATCTTCCTTGTGGCAGCTAGGATTTGTTTTTTGCTTTGTTTTGTTTTAACTCTTCCTCCCTTTTAGTTCTTGGTAACACACTATTTCTGGAGAGAGAAGGGAAGGAAGTCCAGTGCCTAGTGCCAGGGACTGGTGCAGCTTCTGTGGGGTGGAGATGGAGATGGAGAGCACCATTGCGAGTGCTTGTGAAGAGCCTTCCAGGAACTGGGAGTTAGAAGCCTCAGCTAGGGCCAGTCAGGTGGGTTCACACCAGGGACAAGCTCATGGGTCACATAAGCCCTCAGGGCCTTTGCTCATCCCACGTGGGACATGCCAGGTGTGGGTGGGACATGCCAGGTATGGAACCAGCAGGTGGTCATATACTTCCAGGCTAAGGTCTCATTCATTCTTTCATTCACAAATATTTCTTGAGATTCTACTATGTGCCAGGCATTGTGCTTAGTGCTAGTTAAACAAAGGTGAGGAAAATCAAGACATGGTGTCTCCCTTCATGAAGCTTGCAGTCTTGTGGGGAAGCCAGAGGTTAACAAAACATATCTAGTTACAAGTTGTGATATGTATTCTAGAGAAGAATGCTGAGAAGAAATAGTGGGAGAGGGTCAGAATTGAGACCAGGGGTCAGAGGAGATCTCTGGAGAAGTGACATTTAAACTGAGACCTGAAAAATGAGTAGGAACTTGGCAAGGGAGTGAGTGGTGGTCAAAATGTGTGTGTGTGTGTGTGTGTGTGTGTTTTGCATGTGTATGCATGTATGTTGTAGGTATGGTATGTATTGTATGTATTGTGTGTTTCTGTTGTGTGTGCTGTATGTGTTGTATGTGTGTATGGGGTATGTGTTCATGCTGCATGTGTGTTGTGTGTGGATGTGTGTTCTCTGTGTGTGTATGCG